ACAAATACTGGATGGTTCACGTAGGAAGTAAAATAAACAGACAAGTCTATTTATACTGGATCACCTGAAGAGTAACCATACCCAAACGCTAAAGTAACCTAATCTACCCTAACCTAACCTAACCGAACCTAACCTAACCTAACCTAACCTACTTAATCGAATCTAACCCAATTTACCTACACCTAACCTAAGATAACCTGATCTAACCTAACTTTTCCTAACCTAACTCTCCCCCCCCAGCTAACGTTAGGGTGGTTAATCTTCAGTTGTAATATGCTAGGACTCCTATTCTCCACAATGCCCTCATGTTTGTTAATGCATTCAAATGTAATCGAGTTATCCTTTGACGCAATGCTATAGCTACTGTAATTTATAAATAAATTTTGAAAAGTGCAATAATAACTGGCTCCAGAATGTACCTGCACCTACGCCAGTGTTGGTCAAGTCTGGTCTTGAAGGAGCTCACTCTCGGTGCTGTCACACTCTGGCAGAGTGTGCCAAGAGTTTACAAACTCAGAAAAAGCTTGCCTTGACAATTTTCCGAACTTGTGGCTTCTTCAACCATAAGCTGTGACCACCCGCCCTGCTAGGCTAATGGGGCACGTCCCCCAGCTCCAAGTATGAACCCTCGACTGAGTAATGCCCTCTGAGTTGTTTATAAACTTCAATTAAGTCGCCCCTTGACTACCTGTAGTATAAGCTAGGCAATTCCTGTGGGGGAGGGATATAAATTTGCCCCACTTAAGAGTTTGATAAAAAACAAACAAATATGAAGCACTATGAGTGTATTGTATGTGGAGATTAAAGATTTACATGGTATACTGTTCGTGTAAACTGAGAATATGAACAAGTACTGTGTGTACTTGTAGTACAGGCTGTTGTTCTGCCTCGTGATCACTGGAACCCTTTGGTGGAGCACCTTGCCATACAAAGCAAACCTGCCTCCATCACCTGTGTGGGAGATCTGTTCCACAGGATCACCAATTGTGAGGTCATCCATCTTTCTTCAACAATGTTGATAATGACGTTATAATCACAGCCTCGCAGCTCAACTTTGTAAGAAATACGGAAGCTCATAAATGCATTCAGGTTTGTAATTTTAGTGACAATAAGTCTGTAGGTATTATCGTTTAGGCAAGAGCAGTATACCAAAGCTAAGCAGTGTTGCTATAGTGATTTAGATCATATACAAACAGGATTTGCTAGGAGTTACGGGATTAGGGTTACAGCACTAAGAGGAACCAATATTGGAGTCGAGGAGCGTCGGCGGGGAGAACGGAGCTTGGGACGTCGGGGAGGCAGTGCCGTATTGTGAAAAGTCAACGAGAATGCCAGAGTCATTGGACACGGCGTCGCAGGACGTCGAGGAGGTAGCGCTAGAGACATCGGAGACTCCAGCGCTAAAGTCATGTCGCGCAGTCCTGTGAGAAGAGGTCTAAAGGAGGAGAGCGCAGCTGAGAAGGAGAGAAGGAGACGTGCTTGTCCTGGCCTGAAATGCCTTCATACAACTAGCCGCCTAGACATGTGGGAATTAAGCAAATTTCCCGTTGATAAAATAATATAGGTCCACTGGGAATACTTTGGGTTGGGTGCTGGCTGCACAATTGGCAAAAAGTGCTAACTGCAAGTGACCACCAGAGAAGAAGAGTTCACCACCTGGTAATTAGCACGTGAGGTCGCTAAGGAGATGCATCTACAGGCGGCAGTTAGAGAGAGATTTATTCTGATAACGTAATCCCAGGTTGCTCTGCCGCTACAAGTCACTCTTCGTGTCGTTGCTTTTGTGTGCAATTCTTCATCTCACTTTCTACGGGAATTGTATAAGTCAGTCAAACGATAAATGGCTTACTTATAAGCATACTAATATATGGACCATGGCTATCAGTAGCTGTGTTGTGCGTGAATTTCTCCAAGGCGTTTGACAAAGTCCAATATGTACGACTAGTCTCTCAATATCCAGGCGCATGGCATCACAGGCAAGATTTTGACGTGGATTAACAACTGTTTTGAAGACAGACAATAAAGAGAGGTAATAAATGGAGTATATTCTTACTTGATAAACGTTCTCAGTGGAATACAAAACGGCTCTATCCTTGGACCCACCTTGTTTATGATCTACATAAACGATATAGATGAAAATAAATCGATCCACATTGTCAAGTCTACGGACGATACGAAGATATCTAGGAAGGTAACAAGTTAGGACGATGTCAGAACAATGCAGGAAGACCTGAATGTGTTGTTCAAATGGTCCCGAGACTGGCAAATGCTCTTTAACATTACGAAATGGAGGACCTTACACGTAGGATAGAACAACCCTAAGCGCAACTATTCCGTTAAAAACACTTTCCTGAATACTGTCAATATGAAGAAAGATCTTGGCGTTGTGATAGATCGTTCACTGAAGGTGGTGGTCATGGTCAGAGTATTATTTATATTCTATTAACGCCCACACTCATTCATAATAAGCTTAATCGTCAATAAAACATAATATTTTCATGAGTCATCTGTGCGACCGTTTTCTCTAATTTCGTATCAGAGAAAATGAAGTTAGATGACGTTTTTGCTCATGTTAGTCTTAAAGATATGAATTATTCCTAACCCTCTACAGTATATTTAGCATTAAGATATACTGTATATACCAACGTATAAATGGGGCCTTTAAGATTATTTGAATATATGTTGAACGTCTTTATCGAATTTGTATCCGTACCGTGATATACTGTCTTTGAACTGATCTAATCGCATTTATGTAATCTGTGAATTACAGAGAATATCATGAATTCATTAAATATTCTGAAATGTTCGGAAATGCTGCAATTTATCATCCGGGACAGCTTTCAAAATACGCAAAGTGGGCCCTGCTAGCCATCTGCGGTGGGCAAAACGTGTTTCTAATCCGTGTATTTTGTGACTGATTTGATGTTAACCAATGAAACCTCAGTTATTGATTAAATTATACATTCTAACATTAAGCTATGAATTTAGACCTTTAGCAATGCTACTTGCTGTGAGCCTAGGTGTTTACCAAAGCCTCAAACTGGGCCGTTGCCACAATGATTTCCCATGCTCGTAGGTTTTGAAGGCAACAAGTTCCTGAGTCCAGGTTTGAGACCAAATGAAGGTTATGAGGCTTTATCTTTCAACTTCCACCCTTTCCGAGAAGCTAAACCTCCTCGGCCTTCTTCAGGTATCGAGGGGGTCACCAAGGTTGTCTGCCGGCCGAGTGGTCTTTTGGTTACTAACCTTCGGCGACTGGGGTAAGTCCAACTCAAGAATACTGCGTGCATCAATGACTTCCCCATCGAGGAAGAGGTTAATATCTTCGATAACGCAGCGTGACGAGTGATTTCCCACGCCGAGTTATAATACACAGGAGTTTCAGGAGCTGATCGGTGATGCTCACGTCGAGAAGAAGATAAATAAACAAGACAGAAAATCCACCTTAGCTCTTGTGTTTTTCCACAAGATATAAGAGACAATTACAGTGGAATGGGTGACCATCCCAGTTACTGTATATACCAAGATCGACCAGGTGCTATAATTGCCATCTCTACGGCCACGCGGCGAAGAAGGCAATGGGTCAGTGGTTAGTAGGCACCAGGACGTGTCCACATGCCAGTGGGCCTCTGCGCCGTCCCTCTGGGGCCCACTGGTGCTCCGAGATCCCCTGCTGGCCAACGAGGCACCCAGTTACCGTATGTTGCCACGAAGAGGCACAGCTGGAATTCTTTATGCTTGAAGAGGCTGTGTACTGGCAGGGGAGGATTTATGCAAATTGCTTCACTGTTCGCCTTGAGGGCTTGCCAGCGGCGGTAGATGATAGCGAGAGGAAGCAAGCAGTGCTTGCACCTTAACACTAACATAATCCCGCCACACTAGACGCATTACTCCACCCTGTGCGCGCGCGCACACACACACACACACACACACACACACTAACATTTTCTCACCTTTACAATATTTTCTTTCTTTAGTAATTAAAGACACATAATATATCAACATTATAATATGTTATGTTAATCAGTAATGGGATGAATTAACAGTGGCCTCCTTTCTCACAACACTCGCCCGCCTTCCCACCACACACCAGACATGCACCCCAAGTGGTTTAGCCTCTCTTGTCCATGGATGCAACTGATAGACGATTAGATAACTCTTTACGAAGCAAAATATATAATGTAGTGCCTGAAAACAGCTAGGATACTGCTTCAGTTAGTGAAATTGTGATAAGAATATAGATGAAAATTGTTTCACACAAACATCATTAATACAACTTATCAAATAGAGAAGACATTCAAGTTTAAAATTAGAAAATAATCATGGAGGTCTATTTCTAACAAACATATGGTAGTTTTAAAACCTGGTCCAGTCTTCTTCCATGTCTATTACCTCCTACGGTCATTCTGACATAAGACTCCATAGCTTCTCACCAGCTGATGCTTGGCCCGGAATAACTTCCACTCAGCCTTTGTGCGGCCCATCAGTTGTGCTGGTGTCCTTTCCCTCGCCTCCACTTCCCTCACCGCTGCCCCCCTCCCATCCCACACTCGCCATACCACCCTCCACTAGGCAAAATATATAATCTGATAACAGTCTAATTAAAGTGCGTCTTGTAAAATATATAAACTTGCCACACATCTCTACATTTACATATTTGTTTCAATATTATTTAACTTTGATTCCATATTATGTTTACTATTTTTGCGAGTTTCCTATAACCAAATGCAGCTCTGCCACACTGCACACGACCTGATGAGCCCCTGTAAACGCACAAGTGAGGGGGACTGTATATTGTGGATAACATCATTCAGGGTAGGAGGTCATCCACCCACTTTGAGCCTTACAACAGAAGGTTAACTATAATACTAGAAAGACATATAAGAAGCATGAAGGAAGGTGTGAGAAGTGTGGCAGCTGTCACACTGATACAACAAGTCAACTCGGGCATCCATATGTATAAATACAAGGGCCTCACCTCCTACCTATTGATTCTACAACAAACAATTCTTAGTGAGGGTCACTCGCTCACCTGGTTATCTTCACCTGGTTACCCTCACCTGGTTACCCTCACCTGGTTACCTTCACCTGGTTACCCTCACCTGGTTACCCTCACCTGGTTACCCTCACCTGGTTACCCTCACCTTGTTACCCTCACCTGGTTACCTTCACCTGGTCACGTTTCCCTTCCAGATGGCCAGCATCCATCTCCTCCTTGTGATCCTCGCTCTGGTAAATCCATATCACTTATACATGTACATTTATACCAACTGATATAAGAGACAGAGTGTAGAAGTGACATAATTATATAGATAAATTATATATTCCAAGACAAAGCGAACTCTTCTTACATCATGTATAGAGTCCGGCGGTTATAATAATGTTTTTGATTCACTGAATAAAGTCTCTGTCATAAATTGTTTGAGGAACCAGAGAACTGAAACAAAACTTATAAGAAATTTATATTATTCGTGACTCATACGTAAATGTTGTCTCGACAATCAGGTGAGACACAGGTGGAGAAAACTATAAAGGATTACGCCAAGGTGATGTTTACAGTCCATCACAACTACAAGATTTCTTCATTTACTGAGGACCGGATGCCACCCCCGTCCCCTGCCCCCCTCTCCTCCGACCCGGTCACCTCCCCTCTCACCTCCGCCCCTTCATCCCCCTCTCCTCCGACCCGGTCACCTCCCCTCTCACCTCCGCCCCATCATCCCCCTCACCTCCATCCTCCTAAGCTTTATATAACATTGATTGAGTGAAAATTGTTCCCCCTTTGTTAGTGTTGCAAGAAATTATTACAGTTCCACATAGTTTTTATTTTAGTGGACAGGAAGTGAGAAATAATTAAGTCGAAGCAGACAATGTTGTTGTTGTTATTGTTGTTGTTCAGGAGCTTCACCTGCTGTAGCTGTTAACATACAGTAGTTATCTCGGTTTATTGTTAACAAAACATGACATTAAAATGAGAGGAACTTTCCTCACTGACCCCTCTCACTTGTTATACAGGGTGATTCAGCAAAGAGTACATTAAATTGGAGGATGAAATCCTTGGATAACTCTAATCCACAATGTCTCTATGGTAAAATGTCAGACTCTGTATAGTTTCCATGTTACAATACATTTGAAGTGAAGCCCCCATAGATTTTTGTAATCATTTATTCACAGATCTCTACAGTGTGACCCCTCCTTGTTACAACCTAAAGGAAATGGTCAAAGTTGCCCCCTTCTGCCTCAATGCAGGCCTGTACACGTAGTGCCATTGATTGTCTGACGAGTTCCAGAATGCCTGGACTATGTTTAATTTGCTCGCACCTGTCACCAACACGTGGGCAGGTGTAGTCAGACATTTTACCATAGAGACGTTGTGGTTTAGAATTATCCAAGGATTTCATCCTCCAATTTAATGTACTCTTTGCTGAATCACCCTGTATAAATGAAAACTCTCATGTACAGTACAAATTCATACACACACACACACACACACACACACACACACACACACACACACACACACACACATGGCCTGGCGACAAATTCCATACTTATTGTTCAATATGGCATTTGATGAATATCTTTGTCGATTATACAATTTATTTACATTTTTACTTGCGGCAGAATCTATCTTTCTAACACTCGTTTTGCGTCTCACTCTGCCATTCCTTATATACCGACCTCACTGTCTTGTTAAATTTCATGAATATTTTACACTATTTTATACAGTTTGTAATTCTTGGTAGTTCTCATTATACAGTATAAAACATGTTAGTGTTATAAGCACGAATAAAAGAGATATATAAAGTAACCAAAGAGTAAGAGTGAAACTAAAGTAGACCAGAGTTAAGTGTTGTGCAGGTTCTGGAGCTCCTGCAGGCATTTACTGTACAGCTCAGCAATAAGGTGCAGCTGGAAGTCGAGGTATTACCTATTTAGACAACTTGGATTCAACTCATAAATGTTCTTTCTGACAGGTGGCGTCTGTGAGCGGGGAAACCTCCCTACCCCACTGTAAAATTGACTGCAGCGGTTACAGTACTCATCACCTGACAGCCGACCCTTTAGACCGACACAGATTCTATCTATGCACGAGTAAAACAACGTGGTATAAGGAGCCCATCGACTGCGACACCGGTCTTGACTTCGATATTAATTCTTACGAATGTATGGATCCTAGTGACCCAAAGTACAAACCTACACCACCTTGTGACAAATGTAGCTTTGACTGCGCGACCGTAGTGGACGGCAAACGCACGTTCCTAGCAAACTGTCACTATTATATAGCTTGTATTGGCGGCGTAGACGGAGACGTGAAAGCATGTAGCGAAAGCACTCCATATTTCGATGGCATAACTTGTCAAGCAAATGCAAGTAATTGTTGTACATGTCAGCCACATTGCACTAACGAAGATATAATTAATAATAATTTTCTTCCTGATAAATTCAACTGCACGAATTTCTACCTTTGTATCGCCAGTGGAATGATTCACTCCGTCTGTGATGAAGGTAATTTTGATGAGGAGCATCAAGAGTGTAGGGTAGGTTCCCCCTGTAAGGAAGAGTGCAAGAACGACGGCTGTGTAGAAACACTTCTATGTAAACAGATTGGCATTTTCCCGAAGTGTGCTAAAAGTTGTAGCCCACACTACTTCATATGCTACGAATCTCAACTCGGCAAGGAAGCACTGATCTTGAACTGCCTGGACGGTAACGTCTTGAACCCAAAGACTATGACCTGCATCAAACCGGAAGACTGCCCGTTCTAGCTTCAGTATTGATCGTCTCTCCCACCATAACCATGTTTGATCGATGATACTGATTAATATGTTTGTTAGAGCAGTTAACAAAGGCTTGTGTGTCAGAATAGTTTCAGTCATGATCATGGTGCATTACTGGGTATTTATGTGTAGACAACGCCATTATGTTCCTGCCATCAGAAATTTTACACGTATATATGTGAGTACATAGATGGTGTTATTTCTTGTTTTCCTCAAATTTACTGAAGGTTTCTGTTATCGTGTGATTGGTACATATAGCTATGTGTTTACATACTGCTAATATATTAAGATGTGTGCTGTATATCCTTTTTGTATCAGTCACCGTTGCAGGAGCGGTTTTTTTTATGAACAGAAAGGTGATATAAAGATGTATGTCCTTTGAAATTAGTTAATTTTTGTGCATTGGATGTGAATTATATTGGTTCAATGTAATTTCTAATATTTTGTAATCATATTATATTTTATACTTATAGAAAGAAATTTTGAGTTAATGTTCTAATTGTAAAAGATGTATTGTTTGTTGATTATGTTTAGAAGTTGCCGTCCTCCAAGAGCGAATACAGGGTGTGGATATGAGGCCAGGAAAGAGGTTGTAATCTTGTTTCATCCATTGTATATCCAACATTTTTTATATTAATTTACTCATCAGCATTTGGGGTGAATACTAAGTGATACTGCTGTGAACAGAGGAAGAGCCATATTATGGGATTAAAATAGATTAATTACTAAATCAGTTGGGACACAAGGCTATGCAGTGTCAATGTCTGTACTCTTGTTTTACTGTAAATATAATAAGTGTTCATTCTTATAAATTAGTATTTCTCATCCTAGACTCACTATGCACAGTATAATGAATGGTTCCTCGGATATATTCTCACAATTTAATAATATTAAATGTCATCTCCAACTGTCAGCTACAGGTAGCAAAGGATTGTCTACATGATTCTGTTCTGTTAACTAAAGTTATTATTTCGGAATGTAAGTCTGATTAATGAGCCTAGGAGTTGGGGCACTGCTGAAGGATGAGGATTATTCAGCAGTGGCCGTGACATGATGCAAAAAGGCACACTTGTAAAAACTACCTGGAACAGGACAGCCTTACTACCTTACTATTCTTCCTTCACACGACAAGAACGAAACATCCAGAGTGTTTTGGTCAACTTGTTCTTGTTCTTTTATCTAAAATATGTAGTAAAAGGACTACAATCTCACTCCCGGTAGGTTCCAACAAAATATATTTTTATAATGATATTAATTATTACTTTACTGAAGCAGAGACCCGGGCTCAAAGGTCATGAAATCAAGCTAATAACTAATAAATATACTTAGCTTGTGTTTAGGCCCGAATTCAGAATGCAAGAAGGTTTAAACCAAGAATCGAGAGAAGATTGATGAGAATTGGGATTCTGAATGCTTGCTTGACCCAACACAAAGATACAAAACGGGTTTGAGATCTAATTCATTGATCCTCGCATTAATCCAGCCTCGAGGCAGTGGTTGATTCGTCATTCAAGATAGCAAGTCAACATGAATTTTGACAGAAACTGCACTTTTCGGCGATATCGTCAAATTGGAAATTTTGTAGAGAGAAGACTGATGGTCGATAGGCAGAAACTTATCAATTTTTATGATGACATAATTCAGACAATGATATAGGTTCAGCAAGGGAGATTTCCTTGATATGGAGCATCTACTTGACACACCTGTTGGCTATGGTTCACCTCTGCCTCTCATTCATCAGCTGATGATTACTTTGAGACTCTTCACAATTAATAGTTTCCAGGTAAGAAAGTTTCTGGTTACTGAAGGAGTTATGGTAATGTGTTACAACACTTTCAAGCGGGTAAATGTAAAGAACACTGACGCTTCTTTATTTTGAGTTTTTCTTTAGGAAAACTATTTTGATGTATTTTCAATATTATTGAATCAATGTTGAGTGCATTTTGATTTTAATGTATTAATAAAGTAAAGTGTTTTCTTAACATTACTAATCAGGGGAAATGTGGGGTTAAATTAACAGAAAGAAACCTAACCTAGCCAGGTTACTACGCCCTGCATTGCTTCATCTTGCTTTGGTTGTGAATATTGACACCTGTCCCGGATTATATCTACAATTTGTATGAACTTCTTTGTTATCATATAACAACACACCCACATTGTAACATAGTTCCATAAATCATTAGAATTTGATCATAATTTGATTGTACTTATAGTAACAGAAGTGACTTGTGAAGTGCAAGGAGTGATTTCTCCTCCGTAAAAATTCGTCGAGTCACAGTTGCCGTCATAATCTTGTAAACATTACTCTCGATGGTGAATGGCTGTCGTAATTTCGTAATGATGTTAATGAAATATGACTGGCTGAAATTTAGTTCTTCGAATCTTTGCTCGGAATCGAAGAAAATGCAACAGATTACCGGATCGGGGGTTCAAGCCGATGTTCTGATAATGGGTAATCCACTGCAGGAAATATCGGATCGAGGAATCCCCATTCGCACGCCTGAGCCGTGCTCAAATTCCAGGCTCAAACTACCGTTCTGAATTCGAGCCTTAAAGTTGCCACGATTGAAGAAGTTAAAACATTATTTACATGTATAGAAGTGTTTTATAATGAAGTAAGGTTTTGTCTTTTACCTTATGTTTGGCGTTGGTAGAAGAGAAAACTGCTATCACGAAGTTGAGAATAATAAGCGATCAGGATATAATATTGTGCCGCTGGAGGAACTAATCTAACAACGAAGTCACAACAAGAACAGCAACAGGGAAATTCATGGGGATCCTTCAGTATACAAGATTTAAATATCCTTTGTTTTTATCTAGACATACACACGTGTTTTTGTCTGCTTGATGATATTATACACAATGAATAAGTTACCAGATAGTAAGAGTCTCTCATAGCAACTGTTGAGTATCTTTTTTTCCAGCTTTTCTGTTTAAACACCATCGTCTGTCTGTCTGTCTGTCTTCGGTGATGAGGGCTCTCGAGGAACTGTTTCTGGGTAATTACTGGAAAGCTCTGCTGTTTGATATTTGACTTGTTCTTGTTTTTCTTCTTAGTGGTGCCAACAGACACGTTGGTAAAGCTTCGAAAAAAAATATCTTCTCGTGTATAATCGACCTGTGACTCGGCTAAGTGTATTGATTTAAGTACACTATATAATATAAAGGTTTGCACATGCCGCGTTACCAGCCTGCAGTGCACAGTACAGTACTGTACCATCAGGGTTAGTTCCCACCATGATGTTTACTCCTCTCAATTTTTCCTCATTTATATAATTTTTTCCTTGATGCCGTGAAACTCTCCAGATAGCACCAAGTGTCGACAGTTTGTATTTTTATTATCATTGACAAGAGATTTTTCCCCTTGTGTATGAGAAGGACACCCTGACGTGAGGCAAGACTTGAATCTTCTCAGGAATGATAAGTTGCGCTACCAACAATGAATTTTCCTCCCTTTACGTTTATCATGCATTGGTTTTCATTCTTATTTATTCAGTTTTATCTCTTTTTCTGTTTGATTTCTAAATTATATATCTGTAACGTGAACTTTATCATTACTGGTAAAGATATAAACATATAAGACAGTATTCATAGTGCAGTGAGGTACTACCGCCTGGGAAGATATTGGAATCATAATTAATGTGTTGTCTAATGCTGCCATATGGCATCACAAAATTGTGACCAAGTCCCAGGTTGCTGATCTCACCTTCTGCCTCATTTACACACACTTACAGGGTCTCAATTGATTCTCTTACTTGACAACACAACATACATATATATTTTCTCACTGTTGATTTTTGTTTATAGTTCTTTATTATTATAATTATTATTACAGTGTTATTATTATTATCATTATTATTTTATTTTAGTTCTTAATAAAAAAATTATTTACTTTGAATAATTATTACATTTTCTCCCCCCAGGACCCGATGTGGGTCAGTGACCTGTGCTCGGGTGGGCTAATCCCCGGAAAAAAAAATCTCTTATATTTAATGTTTGTTGGATTAACGTAAAAACTAGCCTAGGTACACCTTAAAGACCTTAGCTACTGAAGCGTATCGTTAACATTATAACGTTAACGTCAAGATAGTACACAGTAAAAACTTAACTAAATACAGGTTAGGAAGCGTCACCCCACGACCACTGTCAGGTTTTGTCAGGTGAGATTCACAGTTTAATGATAGCAAGCGGTTCATTCTTACATAATGTTAAAATAAGATATTAGTATTTATCATCGTGATTCTGTCAAGTGAGACATCTTGATCTGTTTTGTCCACAACTGCGACATTATATCTTTAATTCATGCAAAGTTAAAGGTTTTTAACCACGGAGAATCGGGGTCTGGTCCCCTCGGCATGCGTAAGATGGCGAAGCTTGATGGAGTTATATGCTCAAAGGAAAAAATGTATAAAAAAGGCCTGCCACCTCTTGTTGATAAGAAGAATATTCCCCTATACTGGAAAGAGCCGAACTATCCACACCATCTACTACCCATACCATCTACTACCCATACCATCTACTACCCACACCATCTACTACCCATACCATCTACTACCCGTACCATCTACTACCATCTACTACCCATACCATCTACTACCCATACCATCTACTACCCATACCATCTACTACCCATACCATCTACTACCCATACCATCTACTACCCATACCATCTACTACCCATACCCACATCTACTACATCCATACCATCTACTACCCATACCATCTACTACCCATACCATCTACTACCCACACCATCTACTTCGCCCAAATTTCTTAAAGAATATTTTCGAAGAGATGTTTGGTATATGTGGCAAAAAAGGGAAGAGTAAAACAGTACAGGAAAGAATATAACATTGTTTATTCTGACTTAAGTCATCATAATACTAAATCTTCATACATGGGTAGAATAATGTATAATGAATAACAAGACATATAAACCATTAGAACATTTATTACCTTTTATTTCACCTCACAGTCCCCAGTAAACCTATTTACCACACACACATATACACAAAATAATGCATCATGATCATGGCGGAAACTATGCAGTCATATAAGCCTTTGTTAACTGCTCTAATCAGAATAGGCAAACTGTACTACAAGCTTTGCCAATAAATTTGTTAAACTAACTAATAACTGCTCTAACAAATAAATTAATCAGTATCTAAACATATTTGTGTGACAAAGTCCATTAATTTTTCATGAAGGAGTGAGCAGTGCCTGGCGACGATGAGAGAATACTTGTGTTTTAATATCAGTATCAACGACACAACATGGTTATGGTGGGAGAGACGATCAATACTGAAGCCAGAACGAGCAGTCGTCGGGTTGATGCAGGTGGGACCAGGACGTTACCATCCTGGCAGGCCAAGATCTCCGCCTCCTTGCAGATTTGAGATTCGTCACACATCAAGTGTTCAGCACTCTTCATTACAGGGGGCACCTACCCTACACTCCTGTTGCTCCTCATCAAAATTACCTTCATCACAGTCAACGTGAATCATTCCACTAGCGGAACAAAGGTAGAATTTCGTGCAGTTGAATTTATCAGGAATAAACTTATTATTAGTTATATCTTCGTCAGTGCAATGTGGCTGACATGTACAGCAATTACTTGCATTTGCTTCACAATTCATACCACCGAAATATGGAGTGCTACTGCCACATGCTTTCACCTCTCCGTCAAAGCCCCCAATACATTCTATATAAAAATTACAGGTTGCTAGGAACGTGCGTTTGCCGTCCACTACGGTCGCGCAGTCAAAGCTACATTTGTCACAAGGTGGTGTAGGTTTGTACTTTGGGTCACTAGGATTCATACAGTCGTGAGTATTAATATCGAAATCATACCCGGAGTTGCAGGGAATTGACTCCTCATACCACGTTGTTGTACTATCGCATTTATAGAATCTGTGACGGTCTAAAGGGTCGGCTGTCAGGTGATGAGTACTGTAACCGCTGCAGTCAATTTTACAGTGGGGTAGGGAGGTCTCCCCGCTCACAGACGCCACCTGTCAGAAAGAACATTTATGAGCTGAATCCAAGTTGCCTAAATAGGTAATACCTCGACTTCCAGCTGCACCTTATTGCTGAGCTGTACAGTAAATGCCTGCAGGAGCTCCAGAACCTGCACAACACTTAACTCTGGTCTACTTTAGTTTCACTCTTACTCTTTGGTTACTTTATATATCTCTTTTATTCGTGCTTATAACACTAACATGTTTTATACTGTATAATGAGAACTACCAAGAATTACAAACTGTATAAAATATTGTAAAATATTCATGAAATTTAACAAGACAGTGAGGTCGGTATATAAGGAATGGCAGAGTGAGACGCAAAACGAGTGTTAAAAAGATAGATTCTGCCGCAAATAAAAATGTAAATAAATTGTATAATCGACAAAGATATTCATCAAATGCCATATTGAACAATAAGTATGGAATTTGTCGCCAGGCCATGTGTGTGTGTGTGTGTGACTCTGTACTGTAGATGAGAGAGGTTAGCGTTGAGGAAAGTTCATTTTTAATGTCATGTGTTGTTAACAATAAACCGAGATAACTATGTTTACAACTACGGCAGATGAAGCGCCTCAACTACAACAACAATGTCTGCTTTTAAAACCATCAGTCATTTTCACATAATTATTTCTCACTTCCTGTCCACTAAAATAAAATTTATGTGGAAGTGCAATAATTTCTTGCAGCTATAACAAAGGGGGAACAATTATCACTCAATCAGTATTATATAAAACTTAGGTTAAGCAAGAAGAATTATTTTGAGTGTAGATTTGGCGACACTGGGGGAGGTGAGGAGGGTGGAGGTAAGAGGGAAGGTGACCGGGTCGGAGGAGAGGGGGATGAAGGGGCGGAGGTGAGAGGGGAGGTGACCGGGTCGGAGGAGAGGGGGGGCAGGGGACGGGGGTGGCATCCGGTCCTCAGTAAATGAAGAAATCTTGTAGTTGTGACGGACTGTAAACATCACCTTGACGTAATCCTTTATAGTTTTCTCCACCTGTGTCTCACCTGATTGTCGAGACAACATTTACGTATGAGTCACGAATAATATAAATTTCTTATAAGTTTTGTTTCAGTTCTCTGGTTCCTCAAACAATTTATGACAGAGACTTTATTCAGTAAATCAAAAACATTATTATAACCGCCGGACTCTAAACATGATGTAAGAAGAGTTCGCTTTGTCTTGGAATATATAATTTATCTATATAATTATGTCACTTCTACACCCTGTCTCTTATATCAGTTGGTATAAATGTACATGTATAAGTAATATGGATTTACCAGAGCGAGGATCACAAGGAGGAGATGGATGCTGGCCATCTGGAAGGGAAACGTGACCAGGTGAAGGTAACAAGGTGAGCGAGTGACCCTCACTAAGAATTGCTTGTTGTAGAATCAATAGGTAGGAGGTGAGGCCCTTGTACTTATACATATGGATGCCCGAGTTGACTTGTTGTATCAGTGTGACAGCTGCCACACTTCTCACACCTTCCTTCATGCTTCTTATATGTCTTTCTAGTATCATATTTAACTCTCTGTTGTAAGGCTCAAAGTGGGTGGATGACCTCCTACCCTGAATATCGTCCTCCACAATGTACATTTATTACGCATTAACCCACTACGAGACCTGATGACACTTCAAGTAAGGAAAATTATGAATAAATTTGAGAGCGTCTCAGCTCTTTGATGTACAGTCTCCGTCACTAGTACGTTTACAGGGACTCGCCATTTTATCATTCCACAAAACATTACATTGAAAATTTTGTTTTAATATTGCTTTACTTTGAGTCCATAGTATGTTTACTATTGTGAGTTTCTTTCTGCCGAATGTCAACAAACACAACACTACCACACTGCACAAAACCTGATGAGCCTCTGTAAACGCACATATTTTCTAGCCTCTTTAATTTATTTATGGAATATTTTGCGTCATGGGATTTTTCTTACAAATATAGATCACTCCGTTACAAATCTTCACTGAACCTTATTTACTTTAGCTATAATGTTACTATATTATGGCAGCAAACGACGCCGTAAATGAACAGAAACACATAGCTTACCATAACCATATGCGTAGTAATTTCCTTTGAATTATTGCAATGAAAACAAAAAGTTATCCCTATTCGACAAAAACTCCAGATAGTGAAGCCCTGGATTGTGACTGTATATGTAAATGTTCTCTCTCTATAGTGTGTGTGTGTGTGTGTGTGTGTGTGTGTGTGTGTGTGTGTGTGTAGGGTTCCTGCTTGGTGGTTTCTGTCGCCCCACCACTTCCTCTCTTAATTCCTATAAACGCCCACAATTCCAGTAGCTCAGAAAAGACAATAGCCTTAAATCATTATTTCCTTGAATGGAAAAGTTGAAGACCAAAGGAAGTGAGAATTACCTAACTTACACAAAAGAGTTTTACAATGGAGGAACATTTTTCATTTGAGAAATTCCAAAGAATCAATGATTTCACAACAGCGTCAAGGAAGGGGGAGATAAGGAGCTGAGATAAGGCGCCGCCATATACCTCAGTTCCCAGCATGGCCTTCATCCAACACATTGATAAAATATCTTGCGACACTTTCTGCTGCTGCTGCTGCTGTATCCTCCACCAGTCCAAAGTTTATTGGAACTGTGTTATTCACTGTTGGGTTTGTTCCGTGTATCTGACGGTGATGTTCCTGGGTAGTTCAAATCGCAGTTGTGGCACAACACAGCCGGTGAACTTCTCTCTACTCTTGGGAAAGGTTCCTTGGAGGCCGGAAGCTTCGTGTTCTTCACTGGAGGAGTGGGAGACTTGGGGTAGGCGTTGCGAGCGGATGCTCAGTTGTCAGCAAGGCTGGCATTACGGTACGGTACGGTACGGTACGGTACGAAGTACGGTACGGTACGGTACGGTACGGTACGAAGTACGGTACGGTACGAAGTACGGTACGGTACGGTACGGTACGGTACGGTACGGTACGAAGTACGGTACGGTACGGTACGAAGTACGGTACGGTACGGTACGAAGTACGGTCCGGTACGGTACGGTACGGTACGAAGTACGGTACGAAGTACGGTACGGTACGGTACGGTACGGTACGAAGTACGGTACGGTACGGTACGGTACGGTACGAAGTACGGTACGGTACGGTACGAAGTACGGTACGGTACGGTACGAAGTACGGTACGGTACGGTACGGTACGAAGTACGGTACGAAGTACGGTACGGTACGAAGTACGGTACGGTACGGTTGATATTTAGTCAGGATGTACGGTACGGAATTAAATACGATATTTTCCTTGAAGTACGGTACGGTACGATATAGGTACGGAAAAATGAGCAAAATTCCGTACCGTGCCGTACCCCAGGCTTAAAAACATGATCATGCACTTATTAACCCCTTGAGGAGTGTGATGCATTTTGATAGTTTATTCTGGCTATCATTAGACACTTTTATGCAGCTTAGGAAGGATTTATGGGAATAAACAGTATAGACTAGCTGAATTAGCCATCTAATAATAGTCAGAAAAGAGAAAAGAAATGTGTCATTGATCTTCAAAGGGTTAATGCGTTGGTGGCTTCAGTGAGTGATCAGTACCGTCCGCCAGCTGGTAGTCTGGTACAGTCAGTACTGATCACGTTGCGTCACTATTCACGCATAACTTGAGAGTAGTGTCTCCAACTCTCCACACTCCACAGTCACTCCTTCCATCGCCGTCGGGAGCAGTCGTCCGAGGCAGGCAGGGGGACTTTATCTAATATTGCACGTTATTAATAAGATGACACATATTTTTGCTTCATTGTAAATTAGGTAGACTAAGAAATAAAATTCCGTAATAAGGCAACAATATTATGTGGGCACATTTACATCTATAGTCACTTCGTAAATGTTCCTTTTCAAATCCACACATGTACTCTAATAAATTGTTCACAAATAGAGAATTATTTTGATGTAAATATATTTTGCTGATGGTACGATAAAAGTACGGAATTACGGTACGGTATTTTTTCCGTACTGTACGGTACGGAAAAATAATTGAGGGTACGGTACGAAATTACGGTACGGTATTTTAGCCAGGTACTGAGTACGGAAAAATATTCCGTCCCGTACCGTACTACCAGCCTTGGTTGTCAGCAAGTTGTACAGCTTCTCCTAGCATCACTGGCCTGCGTTCCTTGATGAATATTCTCAGGTCTGGCTGTAGAGAAGACAGAAACTGATCCAATATCATAAAGTTAGTGAGAGACACAAAGGTTTCCTCAACCTCTGACGTCTCTAGCCATTGTTGAAACAAACGACCCAGGTGGATTGAAAATTGCTGGTATGTTTCCCTTGCCCTAATCTTTGCTCTGTGGAAATCAACACGATAACCATCAGAAGTCTTGTTAAACCCTCGCAAGAGAGCTTGCTTCAACAAAGAGTAATCTCTAGGAATGTCGGCAGGCAGGGACGTATAAATCTGTACCGGTTTCCCACTCAGTAGGTTCTACCTCACTCTCTCTCTCTCTCTCTCTCTCTCTCTCTTGCGCTCCTCTCTCTCTGGTGGTCTTCCTCGACCTGGAGAAGGCCTTCGAACTAGCAAATCCACTGGCCATTACAACGACGCTCGCTGAAAAGGAGTCAAAGGAAGGTTGCTGGGGTGGATCCAGAACTACCTCACACAGAGAGAAGCACGAGTACGCTTTCAGGGAGCAACCTCAAGCTACAGGGTCCATGAAAACGGAACCCCACAAGGAGGCATCCTCAGTCCAATGCTGTTCAATGTCCTGATGGAAAATCTTGTCAAACTTCCTTTCAGACAAACAGCCAAGCTCCTATGCTATGCAGACGACTTACAGCTTATAGTAAGAGGATCAAACAGACTAGCCAACAAGCAACACGCACTCCAACTTATAGCAGAGGAGTGCAACAGACTTGGACTCAAGATAAATCCAGCCAAGTCGAAAGCAATGGCCATCTGCACAGACACACCAGACAAGATGCTCTCCATACAAAACACGCCGGTAGTCTAGACCAACGCCCACCAGTGTCTTGGAATCTGGTTTGACCAGAAACTCACTTTCAAGCCGCAACTCGAGTATCTCAGGCACAGGACGAAGAGAAGACACAATATAATGAGATCGCTCACCAGCACAACCGCAGGAGCAAACCTTCATGTGCTCAAAGTCTACTACACGGCCGCCATCAGATCGCTGGTAGACGACAGTGCTCCAGCACTCATTGGACTGAGAGCAGACCAAATAGCTAAGCTAGAAGTCATCCAAAATAATGCTCTCAGGACCATGCTCGAAGCACCCATGTGGACCAGAATTTGCAATTTGCAAATGGAAACTGAACTACCACCCCTGGCAGTACGAGTCAAGCAGGTGACAGCCGGTCTCCTCGCCAAAATCTGTAGATCAGATAAGCCCACAGCTGCCAAAATTCGAATCAGTGCCTCCCTCCACCTCGACCACAGAGTGCGAGGGGCCACCTGGTCGCACGAGGCAAGCGAGGTCATCCGACACCTGCAAGCAGAAACACTCGTCAAGAACAACCAAGACACACGAGACAATGGTTACGTTGTTCCTCCACCATGGAGCCCTCCACCAGCAACATTCAAAATGACCGACCAAGGCGATAGTAAAGCCAACCTCCAGAAGGATGGGTGGAACATGTTACCGAATGTCATCATTAACTTGAACACGTTGTGCAGCTTCAATTATTGGGTGGACGGATATAAAGGCCCGCTGCAGTTTCCTCCATTCTAATCCTTATAACACTTTCTTTGTTACTTTGTTACTTATATCTTATGTATCAATCGGACTTTTATAAGTAATATACTGTAGCAAGATGGTGTTACGTCATTGTATCGTCTGTGGTCACTTGGCATAGTGTTCAGGTGTGACACAATAGGGGCCACCGACAATATGAAGTAGCACACGTGTAGTGTGTTCCTGTGTTCCCGTGTCGTCGTGGGTTCTCTACCTTCTAACAGGTCTCAGTCGTCCACTTCATAATATATTCTTTCCTGTCAACTGTTCTCCTCTTCCATGTCTTCATATGACCCTTCATCAACTGTTCCACCCCCCCAATCCCTGACCTTCCTCTCCACCTCTTCCCTTTATTCATTCACAATTTTCCTCCTTCTGGTAATTTTGTATTATTTCTCTTCTTTCTGTGACTGTTTCCAGAAATTCTTCATTTGATGCCTGTCGTTAAATTACGTTTCTCATAATATCCTTGAACCCTACGTTCCAAACAATCTTAGTCAGCTAATGGCGCGTAAACCAGAACAATATACATAAACTTTAATTCAGCTTCAATCAGTGTACAAATGTTTTTCAAGAAAGAGAAAAGGAGATGTGAAACCTTAAAACTAACAATGCTTAACAATCGACAATACAATCAGCGTTATCTTCACACTGTGCTGACACTCTGTTGAACACCTGATGGTGAGGACACAGGAAATTGGACATAGTGGGTGGCGTACAATGGTAGAACCTAGTACAGTCTAAGGGGTCAGGGACACGCTGGTCGTATTCAGTACAGTGAGGCTCACAGATGTTGCAGTAGGGGTAGCAGAGGGTGTCATCACTCTGACACCCACCCGTCATAAAGTCAAAGAAGGGAGCCTCTACAGGACATTCAACTTCCAGCAGGTGGTCTTTCTTGAGGCAGCAATATTAGTTTCCGTCAGGACACGACACTGGTTCAGCTGACGGCTCAATCTCTCCTGTGTGTGTGTGAGGAAATAAGAGGTATTGCCAATTTTTTTAAGCACAAATGTTCAGATATGCTATGGGAAAAGTTTATTGCAGGGTAACATGAGGGTAGCTTCAGATCTGTATGTTTACTACGGAACAGTGGAGAGAGAGAGAGAGAGAAAACAGCCTCGTTTGCTAGGGTCACAAATATAGTTCCACACTTAGCACCGCGTGGCAGCAAAAGTTATCTGTGGTCAGTCAGAAAGAGGCGTCACCTACCGGAGACGTAAATACACTCGTAGTACTTGGTGCAGTCGGTGGGGTCCCTCACTTTGGTCCCTGGATCAACACCTGAACAGTCTGGGGCACACAGCTGTACGCTCCCCCTCACCTGTCAGAAGCAAAAATATGAATTATTTTAACCTTTTATGAATGATGATGGAAATAGAAGAGTTAACGATTACAACTTATTATACATGAGTTATAAATGACTGATGGTGAATAGTGTTGATCTTGGAAACTATTAGACATTATCTCCAAGTAAATAAGTAATAATGAGTTACCGCCAATGAGAGGAGGAGAAGACTGAGGCTGACAGAAGACATGTTGTTGACGGTGAAACTGTTGTGGCTTCAGTGATTCCTTCCTCCTCGTCTACTGTATATATAGGTAATAAAGGCCTCCCGACCCCTCACACGTCACACCCGCTATCAACCCCAGTTTTCCCACGAATTAGTCAGATCTTAACCCTAAATCATTCATCCGCTCTATCTAGTTATAGATGGTCTCCCAGTGTCCGTGTTAGTTAATTTAAATTTCATTAAATGTATTGTTGTTCAGGAGAAATGTTATCGTAAGTTTTGTTAAATATTACTTGATGAATCAAGTGTGTGATAATATATCTTACATCTGGAGACGCGGCACTGTAAGCCTTCAAAGCATTTCCTCTGGGCTGAGATAGGTGGGTGCTGAGGCTTCCCCCACTGGTGACACAGCTGGCCTCGTACTCAGGATTTGATATTTATTTAATAATGTTGCCTGTGTGTGTGTGTGTGTGTGTGTGTGTGTGTGTGTGTGTGTGTGTGTGTGTTATCCTTTTGTATACAAACATAGAAATAAAGTAATGGAGAGAGAGAAGCATCAGGAAACGCAACATACCCCAAACATTTTTTTTACGGGGATTAATTAACCCACATCGGGGCCTGGAGGGCGAAAATGTAGTAATAATAATAATAATAATAATAATAATAATGATGATGATGATGATGATGATGATGATGATGATGATGATGATGATGATGATGATGATGATGATGATGATAATAAAGAACCAGAGAGAAATACAAAAATGTAAAAATATCAAAAGTGAGAAACAATATATGTGTATTGTGTTGTCAATAGTAAGAGAAACAATTGAGACCCTGCAATTGTGTGTAAATGAGGCAGAAAGTCAGATCAGCAACCTGGGACTTGGCCACAATTATCGTGATGTCATATAGCAGCAGGGTCTACCATTAGACAACACATTATGCTTCCAATATCTTCCCAGGCGGTAGTACCTCCCTGTTTGGTACCTGCCTAATACCTACACCCACACAAAATTCTGGTGCGTGGTCAAAAAACCCGCCACTCATCAATTGTTTTATCAGTCTTCAGTTTTAAATTTACATGCTTTTTTATTCAGAAATAAAATCAAATTGTTCTTAGAGATTATGTAAATACACGAACGTCAAGTCCAGATTAATAACCTGATCTTCTGAACTGTCCAACCTAACCTTGTGCGACAATGCCCGTAAAGGTTAATATTAATTACAGCATTTTTTTTTAACTATGTAGAGGACAGGTAACACGACACTCACCACTTATATTTGTCTTCCTGTACCATCAGTGTAATCCCATCTCTGTACTTATCTTCTCCCCTGTGACCTCTAAAACCTATAAAACTTTATCAACAACTCCAAGAAATTTAGTTCCTAATTAAAAGTCGATAAGTATAACCCGGCCATGAACTTTTCTGATGTGAGGCTCCCGGTCAGAGGTGGTGGGAGCGCCAGCCTGTTACGAGTGGTAAGTGACAGTGAGACGGCCAGGTGGGAAGGATAGCACCTGACTCCCAATACTAATTGCGTTATAAGACACTAACGGAGTGTCATATGTCCACACTACTTACTTCCCTTCACCATGTGGCCCTTGTCTCTCGCGTCAATTCTCCTGCTTCTGGTAGGTTGACTGTGACCGCTTAGTTTTCGTACAGTTATGCAATAATATGTCAAGATTTCGCTAAATTCTGTGTTGTAAAGCTAGTTGCTGGTGTTTTATAGAAATGTACCGGACAAATTGTATCAGTAATTCAGGTTCCTTTAGTTAAATGATGCAAACAAAAATGTATTCTTTCGTTTCATTTTTCTACGAAATTCCTTGTTTGTTTGTTTTTTATTTATTGTAGAAACATCTGACTTTTTCTCTTGTCCATATGTCTTTATCGGTCACTTATCAAATTAAAATTTACTCAACCTTATCTCCACGTTATTTTCCTGGTGACGATTTACTTACTGCCGTACCCCTAGTAACACACTACTCGTCTGCCGTACCCCTAGTAACACACTACTCGTCTGCTGTACCCCCAGTAACACACTACTCGTCTGCCGTACCCCGGTAACACACTACTCGTCTGCCGTACCCCTAGTAACACACTACTCGTCTGCCGTACCCCCAGTAACACACTACTCGTCTGCTGTACCCCCAGTTACACACTACTCGTCTGCTGTACCCCCAGTTACACACTACTCGTCTGCCGTACCCCTAGTAATACACTACTCGTCTGCCATACCCCTTATAACACACTAATCGTCTGCCGTACCCCCAGGCGGCGTTGGCGTCAGCACAGCTGTGTGTACCTGACTGCACGAACATGCATGAGGGAGATAAGGTAATGGACCCCACCAACTGCCTCCGCTTCTACTACTGCAGCGACCCCGACAATAATGGTCACCCGGTGCCCTCATCCGAGCCAATTACCTGTCCTGAAGGGTGAGTCATTACCTGCTGGATCATACACTCGTGTCCACTAACTGATAGACGTGATCATACAGTCATATACACCTACACGTACAGTACATATAATCATGTAGTCATATATACCAGCACATTTTCATATAATTATACACGCTTACACATACAAATGCACATACTTAAATTTACACACAGGCCAAATACTGAAGAACTGTCTAGTGATATTAAAAGTACGGAAGTTGAGTGACACTGGGCTGGAAAGATTTACTAAAACTAAAAGTTGCATTAAGAAGAAAATCACACTTTGAACGAAGATAAAAGTGTGTGACAAATACCCCAATCAATGTTAACTTACGGATGCGGATCATAGTGACTGAATTTGACATTTTAAAATACGCGTAGAAATTCCAGCTATTAAGTATAAGAAGACTTAAGCCAAGGCATAACACGAAGACTCACTGAATGAAACGAATTAATGAGATCTTAAATCCAGAGTACGAGATATTATTGAATGTGCGAATGACTTAACATGCCCGAGGTTATGACCTATTTTAACAATACATCGACAAACGAAATTATAGATCATCGGAGGATTCCCACGACCTAATATGCTCAGTGAGAAACCGGGTTGAATTGATGAAATTAGGAATATTGGAGATGTTTAATGAAGAAAAGGCATTCGATATTGATAAACGCACGCACAGACACGCAAAAGTCAATTCCTTCCCCAAATTACTTCATTTCATTTCATTTATTAACTCAAAATCAACACCACAGACACAAGTGTACATAAAGCATACCGTATTTATTTTTCTAATGCTTTTTAGTCATTCTAACTACACCTGGATGTGGCTCCGACAGATTCTACTTCAATCCGTCACCCTATGTGAAGGACTGTGATAAGGTGGACCCCGACAAGGACTACTGCACCGGCCTCTGTGACCCCTGTGCCATCGAATGTAAAGAACCAGGTCAGACTCTTGGCTCCAGACTATGTGTTTGTGCTAATGTACCTTTTTTAACTCTTTGGTGGACTAGGGGACGTACACACGACAGTGGGCTCTGGGAAGTGCAGTGTACCAGACACACGACTTATATTCAAGTTAGACTTTTTTAATATATCAAATATAAGAAAATCAAAGGCTTAGTTCAGTTAAGGAACAAAAGGTGGGCGACTGTCCGACTGTTATGAGGCAGATGAATGGAAAGTCGTAAAAGTAGAGAGAATTTCACAAATGAGAGGTGCGAGGAGAGAGGAAAGCCATGATGAAATTTCACTGAAGGAACTTGTTGAGTGTAGTAGTTCTGGTGGCATGACACGGAAGATAGTGGTGGTGGCATGACACAGAAGATAGTGGTGGTGGCATGACACAGAAGATAGTGGTGGTGGCATGACACAGAAGGTAGTGGCGGTGGCATGACACAGAAGGTAGTGGCGGTGGCATGATCCATAGAAACATGTGTCTTCGGAGCATTGAGCATGAACATGGTTTTAAAAAGTGGAAAGACAATTTTTATGAGGTTTATATTGTATTTTGTCTAAAACTTCGGCAGGTGACGTTTGCCCTAACAGTGATAAATGTGATTTACCAGAGGGAGTCTTAAAAACGGCTTCAGGAATAATCTAGCCCCAGATAATTGTCATGACGTCCTTATGAAAATTACCAACTGTATTAGTCATATTCACAAAAAATTTTATAAATAGGAGGTATGTAAGATGTTCTGCCTGCTGGTAATACTTTCATTTTGATCCCAAACTTGATTTTGAGAAAATAAAAAACAGTTTTATCCTTCTGGTATGGTACGCGACATGATTGAGTGAAAATGTTGACCTAAGAGCTCCTCAGATCCAATGGTGACGTTGGTTCTACCATAGTGATGAGTTTGTGTAGCAACTGTAACAAGAGAGATCGGAATAAGCTGCACTAAATCTGATGTCAACTTTCCGCCATCCCTGAATCGACTCCTTCCTCATCTGGGTTTAATTTAATGTGAATATCAATGCGTCACTGTTCGTCGCGTAACAATATTATGTTTATGCAATAGACTCAACCTATCTTGGAACTTTAATTTACGTTGCTTATCTTAAATTCCAGTAGCACTGAGCTTTGGATGTTAACACTATATCATTTATTTTATTACTAAGTTACTATAGGTTGCTAAGATAATATTCTAATGTAACAGTGATTTGCAAGATTGTGGTACCGATTACAATACTGTTTACTTCAAGAAGGCCTATTTTCATCGTTGTTTACAGAATCGTAACTACTTTTTTTATCTTTCACTCCCTATATATGACAAAACTCATACAAACGCCGTATTTTGACAGCTGATCTGACGATACAAGTTTTCACTCTGTTTCAGGAACGCTGCTACCTTTCCCACGGGACTGCCATAAGTACCTAGTTTGTCTTGGCAACAACCCTGAACCGTTAGAGATCAATTGTCCCGACGACAAACCTTTCTTCGACTACAAGACTGATCTGTGCTCCGATGATAACTCTCTCTGCTACAACCTTTGTGACCCCTGCAAGGTGTTATGTGTCAAAAAGGGTAAAGTACTTGACCCTCACAACTGCAAAGGCTACTACTACTGCGACCCTCCTCAGGTGGCCCCCTTCGAGTGCCCTGCCGGTGAGGTGTTTAATGCACAAGATCTCGTGTGTGAGGCGTCTTCCTCGGGTAACTGTACTAATATATGTGAAGTTGGTTTGCTGTAATGTGGCTGTGTATGAAATAAAATATATAAGTTCTATCGATTCCTTTTCGATTCTCTTTAAATTTGGTTACCAATCCTCCCTAAAGAAGTATAAAAATGCAATCTGACTAAAACTGTCATACTGTACATGTGTGCTTTTTTTGGTACTTTTTTCTATAAAAACCTCGTTAACCCCTAATAAAAGGAAGCCTCACATTCGAATACCAATGAAATTCACTGCCATGGTTTTGTTACAATTTTTTCTGGTTGTGGGTTTTCCTCAGTTTGTCGGAGATTAAGATAACAGTAGAAACCATCCTTGTGAAGTGCTCAAAAAAACCCTTTAAGGCCATGTTTTCTGTCTTGCAAACACAACATTACTCTTTAAAGCTTCGAAATGGGATTGAATATCATTTACGAGAATGGACGAGTTGATGGTCACCATTATTTTTGTTTATATATAAATTACTGCAACGAGTAAAACATGAACTGAATTTCGCTATAGAAACCACATTTTCTAATAAAATTGGTCAAAAGTTTAACAATTTTTGGTAAATAAACTTGTAAGGACTGTTTCTCTTGTAAACAAATCATTGTTATACCCCAGAATCTCTGCATTTTTTCCACCTGAAGGAGGATATGGAGAATTATATTATACATTTTTTCCATACTCCCTACATCATTTTCTGTACAGTCATTATCCGATTATAGAGCCAACATGACAGCAATGAAGAGAAGATTGACAATGTGGCAAAATGGGGCCTTTGAAGATCTCCTATGTGAAGCAAGAACACTGCAGGAGAGACTAAAATTTATAGTAGACGGGAAGCAAAACACCAATGACGTTACAAGAAAGTTTGGAAACAAAATGCGTGTGGGAAAAGTGTCATTGGCGGTAAAATCTCTCACAGAGGAATCCTCCAGTGGGTTCTGCCAATAAACAGAGAAACATTAAAACAACTGAAAGAAAAACATCCCCCTGCAAGTGAAGACGAAGGCATCAGGTTCCAGGGTGAATATATCCCACCAAATGCTGTCCTGTTCGGGAAAACAACAAGAGGGATGGTGTGGAAAAAGGCACTGAAGACTCAGGGAGGTGCCGGGCCTTCAGGTCTGGATGCAAACGGTTGGAGAGTCATCCTCAGCATGAACAAGTTTGGCCCTGCAGCAAGCGATCTCTGCACTGCCATTGCCCCCCCTTGCAAGAAAGCTGGCATCCTCTTGCTGCCATCACCTCCAGGCCCTGACGGCCTGCCGCCTTATTCCTCTGGAGAAAAGAATCCAGGATGTAGGCCTATAGGGGTGGGGGAAGTGCTGAGGCGGATCATCGGAAAATGCATAATGGAGGTGGTAAAAGATGATGTCAGGGCAGCAGCAGGGAGCCTGCAAATTTGTGCTGGCCACCAGGCTGGAGGGGAAGCTGCCATTCACGCCATGAGAACGATATTTGAGCAGCGTGATTGTGAGGCCGTTCTCCTGGTGGATGCTTCAAACGCTTTCAACATACTTAACCGCAAGGCTGCACAACACAACATCAAGATCAAGTGTCCAAGCTTTGCAATGTATGTTGAAAACTCGTATAGGAATCCATCAGACCTCTATATAGTAAACAACAAGGCTTTAACAGGTGATACCATCTTACAATCAACCGAGGGAACAACACAGGGGGACCCTGTTGCAATGGCAATGTATGCAATAGGCCCATCAGTGCTCCAACAAGAAATAAAATTTGAAACAACTGAGGTCAAACAAGTGGCATATGCTGATGATCTTACAGGAGCAGGAAAAGTGGAGGGCATCAAAAAGTGGTGGGACTTGGTAACATCGCGAGGTCCACAAATAGGGTACCACCCAAACGCCAGCAAGTCCTTTCTCATCGTGAAGCCAGAACATTATGAACGGGCATTGGAAGTGTTTGGCGGAAGTGAGGTCAAAATAACAAAGGACGGCCAAAGACATCTAGGTGCAGTAATAGGCACTACGGACTTCAAGACCGAGTACGTAGCGGGGAGAGGTGAATAAGTGGGTTAGTGAAATCTAAGCTCTATCTGAGATTGCTAACACAGAGCCACATGCGGCCTTTACTGCATTCACCCATGGAGTCAAGCATCGTTGGAACTACCTGATGCGTACTATCCCTGATATCGGACCCCTCCTCCACCCTCCGGAAGAAGCTATCAGTGTCAATTTCATTCCCAATTTAGTGAAGCACCCCCTCTTAACCCCAGCAGAAAGATCACTTCTTGCACTTCCATCAAGACTAGAAGGTATGGGACTAACCAATCCAGAGGAGATTGCTGCCACCGAACATCAAAATGCACTTAAGCTCACGGCAGCCCTCACGGACCACATAATAGCCCAGAAAGCAACAGGGGATGTGGATACCAGTGAAGTAAACAAGATTTGTAGGTCCAGTACGACAGAACGATAGCACTGCCAAAATGATAAGCTGCAGCAACTGTTGCTGCAGGTACCAGAAAATTTGAAAAAAAGTAGCAGGAGGTGGGAGCCTCGAACTGGTTAACTACGTTACCGATAAGGGCAAATGGTTTCAGTCTCAATAAACAAGAATTTACAGATGCCATTGCTCTAAGGTACGGTTGGCCAATAGAAGGTTTGCCCTCCCAATGCGTGTGTGGCTCTTCCTATGACATCGATCACGCCATGGTGTGCAAGAAAGGGGGCTTCACATGCATGAGGCATGACTAAGTAAGGGACCTCACAGCAAATATGTTGAAGGAAATCTGCCGGGATGTCATGGTAGAACCGACCCTCCTTCCTTTGGACGGTGAGGTCTTCCAACATAGGACTTCAAACACATCTAACGAAGCCCGTGTTGACGTCAGTGCTCGAGGATTCTGGACGCGGGGACAGCGAGCCTTCTTCGACATCAGGATTTTTTATCCCATGGCTGCATGTCACCGTAAGCTAGCTCTCGATGCTGCACACAGGAGGAATGAGAACGAAAAGATAAGGGCATATGGGGAGAGAATTCAAAACGTTTTTCAAGGCAGCTTCACTCCTCTAGTGTTCACAACCTCTGGTGGGATAGGACCAAGTGCAAGATGTTTCTACGCCAGATTCGAGGAGGTGATCTCCGAACAGAAGCAGCAGCCCAGAAGTTATGTTACAGCCTGGATGAGATGTCGACTGGTTTTCTCTCTCCTTCGGCCAGCTTTGCTCTGCCTCAGGGGAACGAGAGCATCGGCCCCAAAGCCGACAACTGCTACTGATATTGACTATGAGGCAACAGTCATTGAATGCCGCATAGATCTGCGGCTCAACTAAGTCAACACAGATAGGATAGCTACTTATGTATTATTATATTTAATAGAGTATTAAGGTAATAAACTGGCGGCGAAGGTGTGGCTATTGGGGGAGGCTGGAGGCCACTTTAAAAAAAAAAACAAAAAAAAAAGTTGTAGTAGTAGTAGTAGTGATAGTGGTGGTGGGTGTAGGTAGGTGCATAGGTGGGCGTAGGTTGGTACAGTGGTGGGTGTAGGTTGGTACAGTGGTGGGTGTAGGTTGGTACAGTGGTGGGTGTAGGTAGGTTCATGAGTGGGTGTAAATGAATGGGTATAAGTGGTTAGATGAGTTAATGTAGGTGCGTATATTTGAATAAGTGAATACACGTATGTGAGTGTTGGGATATAGATACATGGGTAGGTGGTTGTCGGTGAGAAGAGACAAATAGGCAAGTATTAGTGAATAATGGAGAAGGGATGGTGAAGGTGGTGGGGGAGGGGAGGGATGGGAGCTAGGTAGTATATAAGATATGGAGGGGTTGAAGGCTGCAGTCACCACACCTCACCAGTGAACGATCAACATGCTCTCCTCTAAACAACACCGTCGCCTCCTCTTCTTCATCTTCTTTCTGGCCGTAAGTCTCAATATATTGTTTGGTTTACAGTGTTAGTATTTATTTACTCATTACAGTTCCGTTGTGTACACACGTTGCTCTGCTACGAGGGCAACTTGTTGGTATAGTATTCAAGTTCACCAATAGGCAGATGGTTTGTGTATCTTGTATATTATTTCCTCAACTCCTTTATCGAAATATTGTGACGTCTCTCTCTCTCTCTCTGCATATATATATATATATATATATATATATATATATATATATATATATATATATGGATAGAATCCATCTAACTTTCTTCGTTAGCATTAATCACTACATAGACCCTATGACTTAGTATCCTTCCTTGTTCTTGCAACATCAACAGTATGTGATTTATCTCACTCGCTCCCTAAGTTAAAGTACAGACCCATATAAAAAATTTATTACTGCTGCAGCAGGTGACTGGAAATAAGCTCCTAATAGATTTGTCGACCATCCTTGGTCAAGTTGCCTTACTGTTTACCATTGTTGTTTACCTGCACTGTCTGGGTACAAGAAGTGCATAATCCCACAGCCTACAGCATGCCTACATTGTCTATATTAATGCTGAACTGTATAACAGCATACGTCATTGTAAACCTGTTTGAGAATTTTACAGAATGTTAATTATTATTATTATTATTATTATTATTATTATTATTATTATTATTATTATTGTTGTTGTTGTTATTATTATTATTATTGTTATTATTATTATTATTATGATTATTATTTTAGTATTTAATATTCTTATCATCAAGATTATTATTATTATTGAAGGCGGAGCACAGCGCTGAATATTGTGCCCCAGACTGTCAGGGAGTACGCGACGGAGACTACACAAGAGACCCCAGTGACTGTACGAGGTATTACGTCTGTATCTTAGAGGAAGGTAAGGAAGCTGAGACTGTTACAAATCGTTTCAAGATAATATATTTTCTCCAATCATGAAAGACTTAAAAATATTTATGGAAATAATGCTTATATTTAATGTATCTGAGACTAATGTAACGGAAACTATTACCACAACGCAGGAAAAATTATACCATCACAAGAACCTCTAGAATGTCCTGATGGATATTATTTCAACGACCAGCACGCTGAAACCCAGTGTGACCCTATCAACGACGCCCCCACTGACTTCTGCTCCTACTTGTGTGACCCTTGTGCGGTCGACTGTGACGGACACAACCCCGGCACCATACAGCCCAGCCCCAGGGACTGCTCGAAATATGAAATTTGTCTGGCCGAGGAAGACCACTACATAGAGGCTGACTGTTCTTTTGACAGTAAATATTATGACTTTAGAACGGCCACTTGTCAGTCTGACCATTCCCTTTGTTACCACTATTGTGATCCCTGCGTGCCTCACTGTGTCTATGATGGCCAACGCGTCTTAGATCCTTACGACTGTCACCAGTTCTACCTGTGCACACCGCCCACAAAAGCCGTATTCTTGTGTCCTAACGATCAGGTGTTCAACAACAAGACACAAGAATGTGAAGCCGATGCTTCCTGTTGGACTGCCTGTCTGTGAAGTTAACACTTGAAATTTATTCCTTGTAAGTCCCTTTTGTTGTCTTGTCTGGTATAAATATAATGTGTTTCTGTGTACATTTTTCACAAAGTTTGAACCATGACATTAAACATATACATCTTCATTACCATCTTATTGTAAGAAATTTCTTGCCCCAATAACCTCTTCTGCAGCATTCATAACTTGATGTTAAGTGTTTCCAAAAAGATATGATCCCATCACAGTTTTTGTCGGCTAAACATATGATTATATGCTAATATACAGACAAAATGGATTTCTAGTAAACAATGTTGCAGCCAGTTAAAAAAATCGTTATATCTCCAAACATCCGTATACAAGAATAACAATTGAAAATAATGGATGTATAAAATCCGGAATTACATGTAAGGTTGTTCAACATGTTAGGCACTGATAAATATTACCATTCAAACAGAAGAAACAGTGTAATATGTGTATTAGATGTACAGTATGTCTGACGTGAGCGTCTAAAATGATCACGATGTGAAGGAAAAGCGAGTGTGCCAAGGTGTGAACCTGTGTTCTTCCACAGTAAGGAGACACGGGTATAGAAACAACAGCTACTTGAAAGTTCTGATAACATAATGTAGGTGGTTGTGAGGTGGAGTAATGGTACCCCAGGCCTTAATGGTCGTCCAGGCCTTAATGGTCGTCCAGGCCTTAATGGTCGTCCAGGCCTTAATGGTCGTCCAGGCCTACTTAATAAGGCAAATAAAATATTTTACCGCAAAATAATTAATCAATGTGTTGCTTTAAGAAATTATTCCTAGATATCTAAAGTTGGATGTCAATAACCCACTAACTATAGAAATTTTTTTTACTGAATAATCTGATATTTTCGCACAAAATTATGTGAAGCGAAATAGGCTTAATGTGTTTTATACACAGCTACTGCTTGGCGACGCCACATTCGGGAATGAACGCGTTCACCCAATGGAAAGCGCTATCCAGCCATCATACAGAATCCTTGGATTGGGCGACTGACCCACGTTTACATTCGAGTTACAGTGTTCTTACAACATCGCAATTTGTTTTTGAATATGGTGAATTTCAGGGATGGAGTGAATACTAGAGTTCAATATTTAAATGCGAATACGATACTTCTAATGTCTAAGAATACGATTACGAATACAAAGAAACTGTGTCACTCCAAATGCAAATCGAATACTCTATAAAAGTATTCATGAATCATGAATGCATTTATAAATATTAATAGTTAAAAAAGCGAATTTATTAAAGCTATTAGTAAGGTTTGTACTATTAGACGAGTACACAAATGATGACTGTTTAGATGACATGTTTGATTTTGGGACTCGTTAATGGTATTCTGAAAAAAACAATTATAAAACCTGAAGAAAAATCTTTACACAATAGAAATACTGTACCATTATATAAGTAAGTATTCTGGCGTTATAATCACTTGAAAGAACACCACAAGTTTCAGAGAAAGTTTCTGAAAATAATTTTATGAACCAAGAGAGAAAAATTTTTGTTTTAAGAAATTAATACTAATAATTAAATATAAGTTATTTCTAGACTCTAGAGTCTTGAGTAGACTATCTTGTCTAACAAATCTGCTGACGTTTTTCAGGAAAGTCTTCGAGGTAATAGATAATGACGAAAATTACGATGTTATTTACTTAAACTTTAGGAAAGCGTTTGACAGGTAGAGTCAAAATATTCCTAACTGTAGGAACTTGCCTAGTTTGAGTAGAATAAAAGGATTGTTTAGCCCTTTTAAACCAACGATCAACAAACAATGAAGGGTACCCAAGTTTTTGTGTAATGGACTGAATGTATTGCAGTTCTTCTTCAATAAATTCAGGGTCAAATGTTTTCCAAACTTCCCACTCAGTCCCCTTGCCCCTGCCAGCAAAGGAAGAAACATGTCACACCCTCTGATTGCGTGAAAAAAAGGCAAGGCTTTGCATTTCTCAGTCCCAAGAGAACCTGCCATCTCATGGACTGGGAAGTATCTGAAGACTTTAGCTGTAGCAGAAGCAATCCAAAGCTCAGTGATATTGAGGAGATGAAAAGCTGCAATGGCCAACACTAGAACGTCAGTGTTGTATAATAAAAGGGACACACTTCCATGTATATACACTGCATTGTCACCTTTATCTGCACGGCTTACTTCACACTACCAAAGCCTCTAGTTAACCAGTAGTCAACTAGTAAGCACACGAGTCATGAGATGGCTCCTGATTGGTGGAAAACCATCGCCGGCTATTGGGGGCGCCATTTATGACAGGTGATGTCTACTCTAACCCTGGGATTCCAAGTCAGTCCTTCCCTCACCACCTCGACGACTTCTTCTCCCTGCTGACTCTGTCATGAAATTGGGCGACTATTACCTACTCTGCCTGTAACAGCGGGATCTACTGGCCAGCTATTTGTAACTTGTATTAGTACACCTGAGTACATTATTTTTCACCCTTGTGTATGTGTTTTGTGTAAATTTGGTTTTAAGAATATTATATAAAAATCATTGGCATATTTTTCACATCCTACTGTTTATACTGTGTTGGGTGTTGTCATGTCAACCATGAGTGTGGTGTCAAATATTCAATTAAGCAAAGTAATGCTGTAATAACTAAACCTACAGTAAAATTTAAAAACTAGAAAAGTTTACAATGCAAACATTTATTTTTTTTTTAGATTAAATTAAAAGTAAAAGTTAAAATAAAGGAACTTAAAGACATTTGCCTGACAATTGCTGCTACATCCAAAATTACAACATCTGCAGTAGGTGAATCAATCTTATCCACTGATGGCTGGGGTACAGCAGCAGGCGTGGAATGCCTTACTGGTGGAGAAATCAACTCTTCCAGGCAGTATACAAGGTCTGACTTTGTTTCAAGCCTCAATTTGCCCATACTTGAGAGTGATGGTGGACATGCTTGATTTTCGTGGGCAACGAATTCATCAGGGTCTCCATCCCGAGTTCGGCACTCTTCACAGATAACAGCTGATGTTTAGCTCTTGACTTCTCCCGCACTGGTGGTCGACTGAAAATAGGGAGACTGTTTCGTTTGATGGGATCCTTGATGGATCGAACCTGGTCCACAAGACGCTCACTGACAATGTTTCATACTGTTCTCTACTCAGTCTCTCAATCTGGTGGACCGTATCAACTACAGCTGGGTCAGCTAGGTCTCTAGTGTCTAGGACGAGAAGATCACAATTGCTGTCAATGAATGGATTTACCATCTCCTCAATCACATTGCTAAGTGCCTTCACATGAGTGAAGGATGTCATCTGTATACTTTTGTCTGCTCGTGGTGTCGATGATATGCCTTCTTTTCTCGCTTCTCCGCTGAATCCTGGAACTCTTCAATCACGCAAGCCATCTCAGGACCTTACACCTCTCAGGGTTGCCGAGCTGCAGGGTTCTCTGTCAAATCAATAACACCGCCATCACCCTTGACATGATCATTATACTGTTCGTGAGCTTGATCACTGGCAATATTAGAGAATGTACGTCCTGTCTTCCTAACTGTAAAGTTGCCACTGAGACATTCTTCATGCACAGCAGGGTGCCTCTTAGCTAGAGAGACCATATTGGTATCCATCTGGTATATTTGGGGTGATCAAGTGAGAATAACCAAGGGACAATCTGTGATATAGCATCTATGTAGAGCCTGAAGTTCGCTTCTCTTAGTGCTCTTACATACATCATACTTGAAGCTCAAGCTGAAGGATGGTGAGCCAAAATTGAAACTGTGGACTCACTTTGGCTCTGTCGTTGCACCAATGTTCCAGTGACTTTGGATCCTCCTCTTCTTTCAGGGTACTGCAGTACTGGATGTATGCTTTATGGAGGAGAGTGTGCAGGGTTGAGGCTGCACACGTTACGGATGCGTGTCACATGAGCTGCTGTCAAGTATGAGTCAGCTGTGTCTAACGAGGCAATATTGGCCTGTGTGAGTGCACCCGTCCATCCGCTGTTTTTAAGCAGGTTACCAAGTAATTTCACAGCAGCCATCTCTACGTGTAACCCTCCAAACATCACGATGAACTTATCATCGCCATATCTTCCTGGCCAGCTCCTCTGAATTTGATTGTTAATAGCATACCAGGGTTGTCAGCAGTGATGATGGGGACTTGTCCAGGATTAAGAATGTTGATAACATCTTTCACTACATTCAGGCAATGACGAATCATTGCTAGTGAGTTGGCAGCTTCATAAAAGAGGACCAACAGAGAACCTACTGATATGTTGCTGAGTGGGTTTTCCCCAGGTTGACGGCGACTGGAATGGTATGCCTCCCAGGAGAGATTTTCATTTCATATTATCCATGGTCACCACCTGCCTGACATGTTCCAACTATCTGTGATTTGAGAAATACATTAAGAAGACACTATGATGGAATAATCCCATGGTATTTACATCAGTGTGAGGTGGCTTTTGGAGATAAAATATATTGGCGGTTTTAAGCTGTCACTTGAAATCAGCGCAAATTGCAAGTTCTGTCAGGTTCAGCAAAATTTAACTTTCTAGAGTGAGATTAAGGACGAACAGACTCACAGTCAACAGACGTGATAAACTGACAATAATTGACAGGTGACAGAGAAGCTAATTGACAACAGACACAGTGAGAACAACAGACAGATGACAGACACGGTGAGCCGCCAACAGACAGATGACAGACACGGTGAGCCGACAACAGACAGATGACAGACACGGTGAGCCGACAACAGACAGATGACAGACACGGTGAGCCAACAACAGACAGATGACAGACATGGTGAGCCGACAACAGACAGATGACAGACACGGTGAGCCGCCAACAGACAGATGACAGACACGGTGAGCCGACAACAGACAGATGACAGACACGGTGAGCCGACAACAGACAGATGACAGACACGGGTGAGCCGACAACAGACAGATGACAGACACGGTGGAGCCGACAACAGACAGATGACAGACACGGTGAGCCGCCAACAGACAGATGACAGACACGGTGAGCCGCCAACAGACAGATGACAGACATGGTGAGCCGACAACAGACAGATGACAGACACGGTGAGCCGCCAACAGACAGATGACAGACACGGTGAGCCGACAACAGACAGATGACAGACACGGTGAGCCGACAACAG